CGGGAAGAGCCGCGCCGAGGCCCGAGTTAGAGAGTGCCCCGAGGCCCCAGACCCGCCGCTCTGCCTTTCTCGGACCCCCGAAAGACCTGGCCAACGCCCCTCCGACTGGACCCAGACCCGAGTCCCCTCTGTTCTCCCAAGTGGGACAATGTGGGCAGCTGTGTGGAGTGCCGTGGGCCCACCTTCCTCAGCGAAAGGGTCTTCCCTGTGTCCGACTGCTGCGGTTCCTCGGGCTTCTGCTCCTTTACTTTTGGCTGCGTTTTTCTCTTCCTGACCCAACCTTTCCTCCCCTTCCCGTTACCGCCCCCTCTTCCCTGGCCTTGCTGAGCACCCATCTCTCAATCCCTGGATTTGCACGGGGATTCTAGGCGTCCTTTGAAGAGAAGCTACCGCTGCAGCTTTTGTAAAAAGCTGCACGAAGTCACCGTACGAAGTCTTGAGTCCTCTGAGCTACAAGAAATTGTCCCGAGGGGCACGGGTCCGATTCTGATATGAAGGGATGATTTTGTAGGAATCGTTTGCCTCAAATGAGTGGTGGGAACAACATCCTCCTAAACCGGGAAGGGGACTTTTCTACCCCCTCCCAACACAGTGTCTAATGAAGACATCATTCGTCACAACTTTAAATTAAAGAAAGCCCGACCAAACCGAAGGGAGACTTCCACACTCCTCCCCTATCCCGTGGAATTTCCTATTTTCTTTTTCTAGAGGGCCAGATCCTCCATGAAGTGTGCACGAAGTCGCCCAACCTCCTGGCTATCTCTCCTGGACTTATAATAAAACAAATCACCTAAAGACATATAAATAAGAATAATTTCGTTGTGTCCCACCCCCACATTGCTTCCCACCCCCTTGCCCAGGAGAAAAATGTTTAGAAAACTTTCTCAACCTAATCGATTTTTAAAATACAGTATCCCTTTCTCCTCCTTGTAACGATTTATATGGAAAATAAATGTCCAAGATAAAGAGCAATGAAAAGTTTCACCTCTGGTTCGTGTCAGAGGAACAAAGACCAGCCGGCTTTGCCGCCGAAGGTAAACTGGGGCTATGAACATGGGCTAGAGGCACCTGGGCAGGCGCTGAGCAGAGGCGAGAGTTTGCGGCATCGGCTTCGCCATTCCGGGGCCTTCCCAGGTCAGCCAGGCAGGCTAAACCTTCGGATTTGGCAGCTGAGAAATAAATATGCCAATTCCTTTGGTGACTCTCCCCGCGGGTTTTCAAGCCCTCAGCTAAATCTAGACACCCAGAAAAGAGAAACAAAAATCAACCCAGACACCCCGGGGTAGGCTAGAACAGACGCGTGCTGGAATCGATACCTTGATGGTGGTTTCAGGCAAGTTGAGCGCAGCGGCCAGCTCGCACCGGCGTGGTCGCGACACATAGTTCTCCCGGTAGAACTCCTTCTCCAGACGCGCGATCTGTTCGCGGGTGAATGCCGTGCGGTAGCGCCGCACCTGATCGGCGCCAGAGCCGGAGCCGCCCAGAGCCGCGCCCCCGCCGCTACCGCCGCCGCCGC